CTTGTGCTGGACAGTCTCCTGTCCCACATGGTGATACGCTGAATTATCAGAGCACAGATCAAACATCCAGAGCACCTCTGCTTGTTCCTGTTTCTACATCACAGACATGAACCTGCTGAAGTTTACTCACATTATTATACATCATACTGATCCTCACACACTGACAGAAACCACGTTCTGTCTTCAGACTGTGACAGGTGGAGTGGGTTTCCAGCCCCCACCCGTGTGTACTTCAAGGACCTGAAAATGTTTGTTGTATTTCAGGGTTTCATTAAGTTATTTGACAGAAAGATCAGCTGACTGTGAGGGCTCAGAGTCAGCTGTGACTTTGTTTTTGTTTGTCAAATATGTGAACTCACAGCTGATAGGTGGAGGAATGTGGTTGCTAAGGTGACGCTGTGGGTGCTGATGTCACAGATCTGAGGTGTGTCTGTATAAAAACAGCTGATAAGGAAATACAGCTCAGTTTGTTCTCTGGATGTTTAGTACAGAGGTCCATTTATTTTTATTTTATTTTATTGTACTTTTTCTTTTTGCTCTTTACATTTTTTAAATATTTTATTGATTTATTATTTATTTATTTTATTCCGTCATGATGATCAGAAAAGACTTTGAGCCCCCGCGTATTAGCTTAAAAACGCTACAAAGAACCAAGGATAGAGGAGGATTAGATCTGCCTAATTTTCACCAATACTTCTTAGCCAACAGGCTTCAGTTCATCTCAGAATGGTTAAAACATACCTTCTTAGTTGAGCCCTGGCTAGATGTTGAACAGGCACTATGCAAGGATCTAGAGATTTCAGACCTACCATTTATTAGCTCAAACATCAAAAGACATGAATGCTTTAAAAGTATCAACATCAGCTTTTCTCTAACAGCATGGTGGGAGTTTCTAAAAATAACGGAGTCTTCATTAATCCCATGCAAACGTACACCTATCTGGAATAACCCTGACATATTACAAAACAATAATATGATTAATTTCCCAGAATGGAGTTGTAAAGGAATTAAATACTTAGAACATATATTAGAGGGAACAGAATTTATTCCATTTGACAGACTAGTTGCACAATATGGGATCAACAAGACAAGGTTTTTAGAATATCAACAAATTAAATCCATAGTAAAAAAGAAATTTAACCTCAGTCAAGTTGAATTACAAACACCACTAAGTGCGGCACATTTTCTTACTCTTAAATCCCCCAAATTATTATCTAAAATATACAGAACACTTTCTAAATTAGATGAATCAATATCCCTTCCTACTGCAAAGTGGGAAGCAGATTTATCAGTCAGCTTAGACCAAAACTTCTGGTCTCAGATTTGCTTAAAAACTTTTAAATTAATTAAAAATCCCAGTCTGCAATTAATACAATACAAAATATTACACAGAATGCACTATACAGGTCATCGGATGTTCAAGATGGGCTTTACATCTTCCAACAACTGCTCACACTGCCAAACCAATTCACTGGACAATTACATCCACGCTCTTTGGTTCTGTCCACCAGTGCAAAAGTTTTGGTGCAAGATATGTGAAGACTTATCAAAGTGTCTGAAATGTAACATTCCAACCTCCCCCTTAGTGTGTTTGTTGGGCAGCTTAGATAATGTCACTTCAGAAAAGAATATAGCCCATATGATCTTCACTGCCCTATGCATAGCCAAGAAAACAGTCCTCATGAACTGGAAAAATAAAAATAATCTTAATTCTAACCAATATAGAAATTATCTATTAGATGACATTAGTCTTGACACAGCCTCTGCCACCACATTAGATCAATTGCTCTGGGCCCCTTTTATCAGCTCCATCACCTAGTGGGGGTGGGGGGTCATAGTTTGGTCCCGCCTTCACTGTTGTGATTGGTGAGGGGGTAGGGACAGGCTTAGGGCGTCGGGGGGTTCCCCGGAGGCATCTTCCTTGGGGGGCTCAACCCGGGGTAGCGGTCACGTCCGGTTGGGGGCTCTTTTGGCTCTCAGGTGACTGTTTCCTCGCGGCTGCGTGCAGCGGGGCTAGGGAGGGTCTGTGCTGACGGACGTGGGTTACTGACCTGGCAACCTGGCTGCCCCTGGGTGGGTCCGGGATGGGCGAGAGGTTTTGGGGGCGCTCCGTCTCTGGGCTAAGGCCCGGGCCGGGCCTCGGGGGCTCGGGTCCTGGTTGGTGTGTTGCCGGGGTTGTGGGCGGGTGGGTGCATGGGGGCCCGGCCCTGGAGCAGGGTGCCGCCGGTGCATCGAGCCGCCTGGGGGGCTCTTCAACTGGTGGGGGGATTGTCACGTCTTGCAGGAGCTTTCTTCTCTCAGGAACTCTCTGCAGGAGGGGGAGATACAGGAGAGGTGGAGGAAGATCTCAGCCTGGGCGTTTACCGTCTTATGTAGTCTGGAAGATGTGTGGTTGGTGGGGTGGGTGCAGTTTTCTCTGTGGTGGGGTTGGGTGGACTGTCCAGGGCTCTGTGGAGCCGGGGGGCGCTACTGCACTGGGCCCCGGTCTGATGGGCCTGGGCCCCCCTTCCCTGGCGGGTCGCGGAGGGTGGGAGTGCCTACTGGGGTCAGCGGGGGAGCTGGCCCCAGGGAGGGGTTACCTGCCCCTCCCTTCCTTCCCTCCCCATCTCCAGCTGCCTCCCTCTTCCCGCTCCTCCACAACCACCCACACATGCAGGGCCTTGGAGTGGGGGTATGTCACCAGGGTGCAGAGGAGGCTACCCCCCCCGTCCCCCCCCCCCCCCCGTCCCCTTCTGGCTGCCTCTGCCTCAATTTTATCCCACAACTTAGACATTCACATTATTCACACTCTCATTACACATACATATAGGATCTTGGGGGTGGGCACAATCACGGAGTCCAAATCACCATCAGGGTGTATACCTCACCCCTGACGTCGTTGCCCACCTCTCAATTTTAAATACACTTAGTCATTGAGGGTTAGCAGGAGGGACTATGCGCTTACCTGCTGCTCCTTGGCAGGTAGCTCCATGCCCTCCTGGGTTTTAATTGCACCTTAGAACACATATGCATCAACACTACAATGAGCGGGTGGAGGGAGGTTTGGAGTCTTCTCCCACCCCCATTCTCTGCGGCCTGCTGGAGCGGGAGGGCTAGTAGGAGGAGTTGGCCGTCCGACTGCGGTCTGGGGTGTGGGGCCTCCCTGCTGCTGCGGAGTCGGGGCGGTCTGCTTCTCCCCAACGCAGGGAAAAGGGTAACACCACTTGGGTCTGGGTGCAATTCCCCCCTCCAGGGGCAAGGGTACCTAGACCCGGTTCGTAGAGTACGCTTGGGGAGTGTGATTGTGTGTACAGCGTCTCTTTATGTCTGTCTCCACGTTGGTTGAGTGTGGAGTGAGTGCATATGAGAGCATGAGGGTGGGAATGGATGTTTGTGTCTGTGTGTGCCTGTATGTCTGTGTCTATATGTCAGGTTGGGTATCAGACGCCACCTCTCTGGGGACACCTCAGGCCCTCCAAGGTTTGGAGGCCTATCTCCACCCACCACCACTTCCCCTGCCGGTGGCGGACTCCCTCAGGTGTCGGTGTGTTGGTGGTTCTTTGTGTCTGGGGGTGGGTGTCCGGGTGCACACCGGCTCACTCCTTGGCGGCCGCTTGTCGGGGCCTGGGGCCTGGGGCTTGCTCGGGCCCCTTTGGAGGTGGGGTGCCCCCGGCCTCTCGGCCTAGGGCTCGGTCACTCAGGCGCAGCTGGGGGCCGGCGGAGCTCACGGGCGCGTCACTGCAACTCCCCCTGACTTCTGCTCCGCAGCTGCTGGGCGAGCCCTCATCTGGGACTCTCCTCAGCTCTTACTGGGACAGTGGCGCGGCTGCCCCTCTGTTGGTCTTCCATGGTCTCTTGTGTTCTGGGGGCCTCTGGATGTCTGGAGTTTTGATCTCCTCCATATCCGCTTCACACCCTGGAGGACGGGGCTGTGGCCCCCCCACACTCCCTAGCAGATCATTACATGGAGAAACCTTTGGAATGCAAGCATGCTGATCCACACAGGTATGCACACAGGTGTACACATGGGTATTCACAGACGCGGACTAAAGCTTTCTTGGCTGCTACCTCAAAGCACACTGTGCGCTGTCTATCTTGCGTGCTGCACAATATCGTTTATTACTTAGTAAATACTGATATCTATGACTAGCTAGTTTATTGTGATGGTGCTTTGTTTTCTCTATTATTATGTTGCTCTTTGTTGTTTGCTGTCTCCTCTGTTTGTTTTTGTTTGTTTGTTTTTTTTTTTTTTTCCATACAGGTGACCCAGGAGGTTTTTTTTTTCTCTCTCTTCCCCCCCCTTCTCACCGTCTCTTCTCCCCTTTGGGTTTTCTTTCTTTCTCTCCCCCTCTCTCTCTCATTCATTCCCCTGTCCTATTTATTAAAAAAAAAAAAAAAAAAAAAAAAAAAAAATGACAAAGGATGAACTGAAGCTCTGCCATCACGTAATGTCGCATACTGCTGTTTCTGATGTCATTTAGAAAAGAAAAAAAAAAAAAAAGAAAAGACTTTGAGGATTTCTTCAGAAGAACAGTAAGTGTTTTATAATTATATTTTTGAGTGTTTTGAACAAAGATGGACAAAGTTCTCCAGATCAGCTGTGGTTTGATGGAGGCTCCAGCTAAATGCTGCCTCCTCCATAGTACAATTTACATTTTTATACAGTGACGTCATTTTGAAGTCCTTTGGCTGATGGTCTTTAGTATGTAGCTGATGATTGATAATGAGAGAGGTTATGTTTGTGTTGTTCTGTGGAGATCATTCAAGAACTGAACCTGTTAAACACTCAGACCTGTTTTAGATTTCACCACTTTAGTAATGACGCACTTACTTATGGTCATCCTACAAAATGATGCAAGTGTGGGTATGAATATGAGTATGAGTGAAAAAGAAATGTTTCAGCTTTATTAAAACTCAAATTTAACCTCATGTAGTCATTTTTAAACTTTTTTTTTTTTAAACTGAGGTTCTTTTATTCACTGAAAAAATCAACAGACTCAGATAGTTAGAACAATCTAAGAGTCAGATCAGCAGAAACAAAAACACGGACATGTTTCCTGTAACTGCGTCGCTCTGCTCGACTTTGCTGTTTGTCGGTGTCTTCGTGTTTGTCTCTGCAGGTGAGGTTTATAAACCAAACGGTGTTTCCCTCTGAGATAAAGAGGAATAAACATCAGTCTGGTTTACATTACTTCCCAAACAATTAGTTTCTGAGCGTCTGTTTGTGTGACGGCATCACGAGGCCTGTTTGTGTCTGTGGGTTTTGACTGCTTGGTCAGCGATGTTATTTCCAGCACAGAGACAAAGAAGTGTAGTGTGTTTGTCAGTGTGATGTGTTGTAGTTTCAGGAGTCAGTATACTGCCAGAGGCCGATCTACAGAGGTGGCATGGAGTGGCATGCTCCACCCTAAAATGATCTCTTGCCACCTCTAGTGCCACAGTAGTTTTATATATGACATTGTTGTTTGTTAAGTTGTGGCAACAGATTATATTAGGCTGGCACATGCCTCTCTATGCCACCTCTGCAGATCTGCCCCTGAGTTTTAAATGGTTGTACAAAGAAATGTCAGAATCATTGTTTACATTGTAAGGCACATTACACAATGTTACACTTGCAATATGTGTAAAGAAATGGCTTTGATTTTACCTGTGATTTCCACACCACCCTAAGAACATTTCATTACATCCAGCCCTGTATACAGCTACAAAGCTTTTTGTTCAGTGTATACAAACAGCTGTAGCTCCATAAAGGCAGCATGCAGAGACTCACAGTGTCTTATAATGAGAGGCTGCTTTCTCTCAGCACGTTTCACTGTATAAATGTTTATATAACACAGGTCCTGCTGTTATTTATTGAAAATGATACTACAGCAATGAGTGTGTTTGTGGTCCTCTCATTGGCTGCTGTCGAAGTGAACAGTTGCACTTTGACCTTTAACCTCTCTGCTCTGTGTTGTTTTCTTTCAGGCCAGAAAATCATCACAGCTGAGCCTGGACAGAATGTCATGCTACCATGTCGAGCTCCAAACAACAGCAGCAGCATCTCAGTTGTAGAGTGGAGCAGAGCTGACCTGGGAGATGAATATGTTCTTTTGTACCGGGATGAGTTATTTGACCCAGAAAACCAGCATCCATCTTTTAAGAACCAGGTGGATCTACAGGACAGACAGATGAAGGATGGAGACGTGTCTTTGATTCTGAAGGATGTGACGGTTAATGACACTGGAACATACGAGTGTCTTGTCTTCACGAGAGGAACAAACATGAAAGCTAACCTGGTGATCGTCACACTGAGTGTTGTTGATCCTCCAGGTGAGTGAGTAGAGTTTTGTGTGTGTGTGTGATCAGAGGTAAAGCTGCTTCTTTGATGTTTGTTTCTAAAGATGTTAGCAGGAAAACAGTAAATATCTCTGAGAAAGAGAAGTAGTCCGGTTTACACATTGCTGATATCTCTCAAATAAGTCATTACATTTCGCTGCCTTAGTTATGACGCACTTATTTATGTCATACAGGCCCACCTACCAAACGTCACTCTGATGCGACTAGGACACATCGAAAGTGTGGAGTTTGAACGAGTGGCTGAATTTCAAGTCTCTCAGCTTTATTTAATCCTCAAAGTTAACACTGTGTAGTCAAGTTTTAAATCGGGTTCTGTTATTCACTGAAAATACCAAGAAACTCAGACTTTTAGAACAAACTAAAGTGTCAGATCAGCAGAAACGGAGAACCCGGAAATGTCTACTGTAACTGCGTCACTCTGCTCCACTTTGATGTTTGTCGGTGTCTTTGTGTTTGTCTCTACAGGTGAGGTTTATAAACCAAAGAGTGTTTACATGTTACTCCCTAAACAATTAGTTTCATATCGAATCAGTTTGTTTGTTTGTGTGAAAATGTCACGAGTTTAGGTGAAGTAACGTGAATTTGACCGCTTGCACAGCGGTGCTGTTTCCAGCACAGAGTATGTCTGTGTCAGTGTGATGTGTTGTAGTTTCAGGAGTCAGGGACGTATCTACAGAGGTGGCATGGAGTGGCATGTGCCACACAAAAATAATTATCTTGCCACACCTTGTGCCACCGTAGTTTTGTAAATGACAATGTTGTTTATTAAAATAAGCTAGTATCGACACTTTGAACCTGGGTGCCACATGCCACCTCTGTTGATCCACCTGAGTTTGCATTGGCATTTTAAGGCATATTACACAATGTTACACCTGCATATGTGTAAAGAAATGCCTTTGATTTTGCCAGCCCATGTGATTTTCCATGCAACCCTAAGAACATTTCTCTAGATCCTCTGATGTGTTTTAGTGTCGGGAGTCGGTATGCAGCTACAAAGCTTTTAGTTCAGTGTATACAAACAGCTGTAGCTCCATAAAGGCAGCATGCAGAGACTCAGTGTCTTATAATGAGAGGGCTGCTTTCTCTCACACATTATGTTCACTTATTATCAGCACGTGTCTCACTGTATAAATGTTTATATAACACTGATTCTTTCATCCATCTTATTTATTTGCTACAAGCAGTCAGTGTGTTTTGTTCTTATTCCGATTGGCTGCCATCGACGTGAGCAGTTGTACTTTGACCTTTAACCTCCCTGTTCTGTGTCATTTCCTCTTTCAGAACAGAAAATCATCACAGCTGAGCCTGAACAGAAGAGCGTCACTCTTCCATGTCGAGCTCCAAACAACAGCAGCAGCATCTCAGTTGTAGAGTGGCGCAGAGCTGACCTGGGAGATGAATATGTGCTTTTGTACCGGGATGACCTGTTTGATCCAACCAACCAGGATCCATCTTTTAAGAACCGGGTGGATCTGCAGGACAGACAGATGAAGGATGGAGACGCGTCTTTGATTCTGAAGGATGTGACGATTACTGATAATGGGACATATGTGTGTCAGGTCTTCATGGGAGGAACAAACGTGAGGAAGAGAGCAAATCCGAGGACTGATCCCATCAGCATCATCTACCTTCATGTTGTTCCTCCAGGTGAGTGAGTAGAGTTGAGTGTGTGTGTGATCAGAGGTGAAGCTGCTTCCTGCTTGTTGATGTTTGTTTCTAAAGATGTTGTTGATGAGACTTTGTAGAAAGCAGCTGGTCTGAGTGATGTGATCAGAGTGCAGTAGATAATGTCTGACAGCAGTTTGAAGAGGAAATGGATTCTGTTCTGTTCTTCACTCATCACCTACCTGACACCTCACACCTGTTTCTCACCTGCAGGAGGATCTGTTGGACTGATCGTCGGTCTGAGTGTTGCTGCTGTTGCTGTTGTGCTTGTTGCTGGTTTTCTGGTCTACAGAAAATGTAAACGACAGAACCGAGATTTTAACTAACATCCTGATGAACATCAGCAAGTTTGAAATGTCCCAGAGCTTCTTACATGGTGAAGCTGGATAAGAGAAGCCAACATTACTAAGGGAAAAACACAGGAGTACTGACTGACTGAAGAAACATAAACACCAGAGTCCAAGTGAAAAACCAGAAATTTGCTTCATTCCAAAAATTCCACGGCAGATACAGCATTTAAATAAAACGTTGTATCTGCTGTCCTTTCTGCAAGTAAGAAGGAATAAAAAGATAATGAAACAATTATTAAAAATTGCGGGTTAAAATAAATAATGTTCTCCAGCACCTTTGGGATAAAATTATGACCCAAAATGATCAAAGACATTTTTTTTAACATCAGGCTTAGAGAAGATACTGAATAATGTTGGAAGAAGTGTTGAATCCTTCACCATAACTGTATTTTTATGTTTGTTTGTTTGTTGTTTTGTTTTTTTACATCTATTGGAATGTAATTACATGCAACACTGAACATTTTTTGCTTATGATGTATGGGAGAATTGTAAATTGGTATGATTATTATCATTGTTATTATCGCAGCTGGATCTAGTGTAGGAGCTAGTAGCTAGTCTGGAGCTAGTCTATTGGTAAGACTACACACCTTTGGAGCAGGAGTCCCACCCTGTATCCAATAAGGGTCCTGGCTAGACCCCCCCCATGCTAAAACAATGGCACAGCTACGTCAGCAGTCAGTCCGCAGCTCGGACTATTCTATTTCTCATTGAACTAGTTTGAAGCTAAATTTCATTTCAATTGACGTCAGGAATTTACTTTGTTTATGGTTTGTTTCCCCACAGTATTGATGAGGTCAGTGCCCAGTGTGTTACAGGTTCAACCTCTGTTTGTAAAGTCAGACTTCTTCTGTGAGGTTTGAACCACAAACTGATCCTCACGCAGATCAGCTGTTACATAATTACAGACTAGAGATGGCACGATACCACTTTTTTATGTCCGATACCGATACCGATATCATAAATTTGGATATCTGCCGATACCGATATGAATCCGATATAGTGTTTTTTAATCAACAAAACTGTTTTTTAAATATCTTGCTGCATTTTGCAAGTCTGCAAGTTCATACTCAAGTTTAAAACAACAACTACACTAAAGCTATTCTGTTATACCTGTATACAAAAAAAAATTTCATAGTTCAGCAATACTGATCAATCTAATAAACTTAGACCTACACCATCCTCCCTATTCTGGTATTTTAAAGAGTACTTAGCATAAATATTAAGCAACCTAACTAATAGGGTTCCAACTCCCAGCAACAACAAAATTAAATAAATAAAAAATAGGGAACCACCCCTCACGCGCCACCTCATGATGCTTAATCGACGTAATCAACCTTAATTTGATGCAGTGTGAAAAAAAATGCACAGAAATCAATTATTTTTCAAGAAATATTAAATAGATTCAACATCTTTCTTCAACAAAATTGCAGACTGCACAGATGGTACCTTCCCAAAGTAAAAAGTACTATAGCTTACTAGGGTATATATATTAGACTTAATAGTCACTATGTACAGTAATTGACTTCTATTCATTTTACATCAAATTAAAACTTTGGGTGTCAGATAATTATTTATTAAAAGCTAGACATTTTAAATGAGAATAAGAAAGAAAAGTATGTCTTTGTGCCCCCTTTTCCCAGTTAATGCCCTATCGGCCCCCCTGGCTAAACTTTGCTAGATCCGCCCCTGCACAGTTACCAGCCGTCAGCTGTAGAAAAAGATCCTGGTGTAGAAATTAATATTAAATAAATTCTAACAACAGCTTATCAAGCTTAAACGTGCTGCTGTTGTTCAGCCGCTGGTTTGCTCTTTCTGGTGCAAAGTGGGCCAAAAACAAACAAGAGTCACGGACTCACGACAGAAAAGCCGATCAGCTGATTTAAGCAGTTTCACGATTGAAGTAGCAGCCGGAGAGCGAGAGGCAGTCGCTCCATATATCGCTTGTTAAGCTTAACGTGGAATGCTTTACAAACATTCAGAGATGGACTTACACACTTGCTTTACTTCTCTCGGGGATAATTTTGTCGGAGATGAAATGCCAGGTTGCTAGCGAAGCTCCACATGCTATCCAGACCACCGACAGGTCCGGCATGCCACAGCTGCTCTATCACGTGATGCATACGTTCTGAGGTGAGTTACGGCGTGTTGCAAGTTTTGTGAGGTGCTTTCGTGATATTTAATGGATCGGATTACATTTTTATTTTTCTCCGATATCCGATCCAGTAATTTAGGTCAGTATCGGACCGATACCGATACGTAATATCGGATCGGTCCATCTCTATTACAGACACTAACGGATCAGTAATCAGTCCGATGGCAACTATAACTGAATGAATGTTCTGACAGTGTCATGAAAGCAAAGATGAAATGATTTCTGTAAGTCAGATGTTTTCTCTGAAGATTTATTGAACTTTTAATCCCATGAACACTTGTGTTGTTTGTTCTGTGGTTGTTACTTCAGTGGAAATATTCCAAGAGCTAACACATTTTTATATAAAATAGTACTTTATAGTTGTTTTGACTCTATTCATGTGTTTTCTGTGGCTGTAAAAGTTTTTTTGATATCTCTTTTATCTCCGTGTTGACATAATTGATGCAGATTTTATCTTAGGAGTCGGTCCAAATAGATCATATAAAAACAAGAATATCACTCAAATAACCCTGAGGTTGTTTAATTTGTCATCGCTCTGAGGTCCCATCAGAAGAACAGTAAGTGTTTTAAAATGACATATTTGATCATTGTCTACAGTTCTTTGTGGCTTTACAGCTACAGCTAAATGCTGCCTCCTCCACAGTACACAATATACATTTTTATACAGTGACATAGTTTTGATATCAGCACTACTGCCTCACAGCAAGAAGATCCTGAACTTAAATCAACCACGGGGCCTGTCTGTGCAGAGGTCCATGTTCTTCCCGTGTATGTGTGGGTTCTCTCAAGGTACTCCAGCTTTGTTCCACAGTCCAAAGACATAGTTAGTGGGGCCATAGGTGTGAATATGAGTGTGCTTCATTGTCTGTCTCTCTGTATTAGCTCTGCGGTAGACAGGTGACCTGTTTTCGGTGTGACAGCTGCATTTCATTTAAGCGAGCATACGTTTAGTATGCAAATATTATGCAAATGATCAGTGTGATGTTCCTGCTCGATCATCATTGATGATCTGCTTGTTTCCATGTTAGTGTTTAAAGTCCAACATCTCCCTCTAGTGGCCACATATAAACATGTGTGAGGATGGTGTTCATGTAAAATGTGAATCATAGTGTTCCAGTCAGTCATCAGTGTGTCTCTGCACAGCTGTAATTAAAATGTGTTCAGAGGGCCTCAGTGTCTGAATGGTTCCAGTTCAGCTCCATAACAGCAGCGTCCCTGGTTTGATTCCTGTGTTTCAGCTCATATCTGCTTCTCTCACTGAGGGGGACGTCCACTACATGGACATGGATTTGTTCATCAACCAAACTACAGATCACTGAGAGCAGAGATTTGAATTTTTTTAATTATATTTTTTTCTGTGTGAAATGATGAATATCTTATTACATAAGTTTGAACATTTGATTATGCAATGAAATCGTCTATGATGTTTGTGGGCATCATGGACATGAAATCTCAAATTCAGATTTTGTTACAACAGTGCCTACTTACACTTTTTTTTAAATATGTCCATCCTTGAGTAATTGTATGTATGTTTGTCTTAAATTACATAATTGTGAGTTGTGATTTTTTTTTTGTTTGTTTGAACATAAAATTGCAGTGGTACAGTGTGCCTTTACATATATGTTTGAATAGTTTTATAACTTCTATTGTTAAAAGGAAAAAAGAAAAAAACCCAATGCCCCATCATCGTTTTTGAACCAATAGAAAGCTGGTGCTCAGAGGAAGAGGGCGGGCTTTACTTGGTGTCAGTGAGAGAAATGAAAAAAAGCTCAAATGAGTGAGAAGGACGATGAAGGAAACATCTATGCTGTGTCTGCTCTGTAAGTAGAATCTCTGTGTTTGTTTGAATTCTTGTACTTTGACTGTCTGCTCTCCTGATAACTGATGATGGAGGAGAAGACATGAAAAACAAATCAGGCTGAATTCAAGTTCAAACACCACGAGGACCAACTGCAGGTCTGAACTGACTCTTTATTTTTGCTCAGGAGTCGAGGCAACGGATATCTTGTGTATACTCGCTGTAAACATAATGATCACAGAAAAAGGCGAGCCCAACCTGTGTAAACATATTTGTCAGTGACAAAGTTCCTCCATATGAGTTTCAGGGTAGCGAGAACTGTTGATTAAAGACTTGACAGCACAGTTAGCAGAGAGGTGCTGAGGTTAGTGTCTGTGTGATGCAGGCAAAGAGTGGACTCATCATACAGACTGAAGACACAGCTTCATTAGATGTAAACTGGCAGGTCTCAACAAAATATAAGGCAGAGGAAGCAAACTGACTAGTGATGGTAAATTCGATTCTTTTTACTGAATCAAGTTTCAATGAGTCACTGACTAGAGAGTGCAAAAAATGTACATTTTCACTCAAACTTAATCTGTTTCTCTTTTCGTGTCAATGCTAAGATGAGTGATTGAAAAAGAAAAACAACAATTTTATAGAGCAAAAAAAATTTCTAAAGAGAACATTTATTTTATTTATTTTTATTTTATTAATATTTTCCTTAAATGTGTCAAATATATATTTTCTCACCTAAATGTCCACTGAGCTGTGAGCCAGGGGGCGGTAATGCTCCTTAACATTGGTTACCAACCAAGAAGAAGAAGAAGCTGTGAGCCAGGACCAAGGGGTTGTGAGTCGTGAGTGATTTGTTTGTAAAATTTTTTTTACGTGCACTCAGAATAGTGGCACAAAAATAACGCCATAAGTGAGTAGCTCAAATGTGCTGTTAGCATGTTAGCAGAGTGACGCTACTGTGAACTGAGGAGCTATCCGGTCTTTAAGTCTGACGTCACTAGCTGTGTCTGGGCTTAAACTCCGCTGCAGGTCCATAAATCAAACGATCACTGTGGCATCGCTGAGAGTTGAAAAACTGTCTGAAGTCTTTCATTTTTAAGCTACATCCTAAGGTTTTAAATACTGAGCTTAAATAAATGATTAGCAGTAATAAAAGCCGAGGGAGGTCAACAGTGATCACTGACTGTTTTTAGGAGCTTTTTGAGATTAAATAGAAGAAAATACATAACATTAAACATGTTAACAACACAAAAGCCATATTAAACGCAGACTGCTTTAGGCCCGAAAGCAGAATTCGTCATGTCATCACTTAAAGACCAGATTGAGCTTCTACTCAGGGTTTTTTCTTCCAGTTCAGAGGAGAAATGTTTTTGCTAAGATACTGGATGTTGTGTTCTTCTCCACAACTTTCTAATAATGAAATTAGTTTGCTAAGAGCAACAGGGATGAGTCAGTGAGTCAGGTGGGCTTGTGAATCATGAGTCACGAGTCAGTCTAAAGTGATTTTCGAGTATTGAACAATTCGTTCATCATTCGCACATCACTAAAACTGACTGTAAAAAAAACAAACAAACATGGATTAACTGACAGACAGGAGACCACACAACATGAAGCAGATAAGGATAAGGAACTGAATAAAAATGAGGGTTAGACATGAGAAATGTTTGGTTAACTGGTGATTCTAAA